TGACTGCTGAAAAGATCAAATTCTTAGAAGCTGGAAAAAAGCATAGACATATCTTTTAAGTGGAGAAAAAGAAGAAGATATTGGAGGGAGGAGTTTAGGAATTTTCCAACCTTCCAAGTCCCCAAAGAATTTTGCAAGATAATAACTTCTTGTAATAAGTAAACTGATTTATTTTTTTTTATATTTGAAAGGAATTGGAATTAATTATATTTGCACAATTCTATGGAAATGGAATTGTCTTAATCTCAGTCCTGGAAAAAAAATATTTTCAGAGATCTGCACCAGATGTTTCAAATGATTTTCATGTTTTTAATGTGCCCAACAACAAAATTGCAATCATTTTCTTCTATCTTTTTTCCCCCTTCAAAATGAGTGTCATATGACCTTCATTATTATTGTAGAAATCTTGTTAACTTTGATGTCTCCAAGAATCGCATTTTATTGAGCCCTTGAAATGAAGTAGCATAGTTTTAGCAATACCCTCTGAAATCCATCTTCACTATTCAAGATTATGGCTTGGTCATTTGTGAGTAAGAGTGTCATTGTGTAATCAAGATAGTAAAATCAAAAGTAGCCCTATAACTGTTAAGAATAGTTTTCCATTTTCTTACTATTTCATCTGGAATTAGCGCTTCGTTAATATCCCATTTTCTTTGAGACCATCTCTCAGTGTCTCTCTTTCTATAATCCCTTTCCATGCTCTTTGCTGAACACACAGTTTGTCTGGGAAATACAGCCCACATGTTGCGCAGGCGCCACAATAGTAAAGGGTAGACAGTGACAAATCGTCGGTTTCCAGCGGAGGGTAGCAGAACATAGAGAGGCATATAGCTCCATGGTGTTATGTCAGTCATCTCAGAAACCAGGGGAGGCGATCAGGGCCGTCAAACAAAGCACACGAATGACCTTACTGCTTTCGCATACACAGCGTATTCGTCGGGCCAATGATAATAGGCTACATAGGGAAGGTGTGAGGAAACAATGAAAAAGCTACGAATCGGGTGCAACAAAATGCGTTGGCATTTCATAAACGGCATTTACTAAATTATGCAAACGTTTTAGTGTCAATTTAGTCTAAACAGAAAAGTGCACAGTACAATAGTCATACAAGCATTGTTCATCTTACAAAAAGATTAAGAAAAGTAACGATTTTTATCATCACGCAAGAGCCTCACAGGCGCCTAAATTTTTAGATACATCTCGGCCAACCTACATTTTTAGTTACCTGCTAACATAATGTTACGTGTGTGAGAAGAGCGTGCGTGTAAAATACAGTAACTGTTGCTGCTATCGTTGTGTAAATTATGCTAATAATACGACAGAATAAATACAAATTGTTAATTTATGAATGATTAACAAGGAATGTGTGAATAATTCGTTCTCTCAAAAAACTTCATGTTTTAAAACGTACTTTCCAATACTATGGGCCATCCTTGTTTAATCGACCAAAGTCTATTTCCACCCTTTAGTTTAGACCTAAACCTCTTTTTTCTCTTTTGTTTCGTTAAATAACAAGATAGGGTCGGTTAATTCAAGAAAATATTCGTAAATGGCAGCTACATTTTTTCATAAAAATTGTGCATTTAAGAGAAAACTTAAAAACTTGCATTAAAGTCGATTGTTTATTTAACAGTGGATGATTTTCTGTCTCAAGATTCCATCATATTCCAAAATATTTTGAAATTTGATTAAAATCTGTTACAATAGAAAAAGTCAAAAATGCGCATCCTTTTTCAAAAAGTTGTTTCCAAAATACTTAATCTTACAGTTTTTATTTTTATATATCAAAATTCTCATGAAACACTAAATTTCCATTCATCAAATTTTGAGACCGCCAAAGTTATGGCTCTTTACAAGCCAATTTTCACATCCCTAAATTCTGTTAATTTCCAGCAAATTGAAGTTTTAAATGCACACGTTAATTAAAACGCTTGTTGTGAAATTATTAAATAGGTCGCATCTCTAGTTCCACTAGCATAGGATAGGATTGGAGGGGAAAAAATAACATTTGCAATTTTCAAATATTTATTCCTAACCTTGTGTCTATGTGCACTCCACTCTCTTAAAGAAAAAAAATGAATTTTGAGAAATTCTTGTTTAAGTTGTTTTAGAAAATATCATGGTTCCACCCCAACTTAAGTGAACATCATTCATATTTTGAAAAAAACATGACATCCTTTGAGACAAAATTTTGAAGCAACAATTTGGAACTGTATTTACATTAAAATAATACTTATAAACATATTAAAAGGTTGCAATGAAACTCGTCAATTTTTTATTGTCTTTATATGTGATTGAAGTAGAAATCCAATGATTTGAATTAAGCAGAAATTGGATTCGGATATGTGGAAATTGGAATGATTGTAGCAAGCTTAGAAATTAAGTAAAAAAGCCATGAAACAAAAAACAACTTTAATTAATGAAATTAATTTTTTCAGATATAATGACCCTTTTCGTTACAAGAAATCGTTCATAAAATGGTATTTTACGGCGCATATTATGACGTATTTGCCATATGTGGCACGAATAATTATCACACATTCAGTCAATCTCAACGAGAGAATCGTGAGGAGGTAGAATAAACCGAACAACACACCACCCGACCACCGTTTCTTCGCGCAATGTCAAAGATCGCCCCTAATGTCACTCGTTTTCAAAACACGTACTCACGTAATAAAGCTTAACGTTATAAACTAGTTGCATAATATACTATTGTCAAACATAAGAAACAGAAAATTGCAGGAAAATGCTGTAAAGTTTAAGTTCAGAAGAACTATCTCTGCGCCAGTCTGTTTCCCAATTTAGACATTTCGTTTCTTCTCCCAAAATAGATTTGAATTATCAAAATTGGAATAAGTGGTTTTATTTTAATTTAGACGATTTGACATGTTTCGTATTAATATTTGTAAAAATTGATTAGCAAGTACAATATGTTTTGATGCCAATATAAATTTAGTTGTATAAACATTGTATCTTTTCATAGTTGATAAACAAGCCTATGAAACAGGCTATGGAAAATTCTTAAACATCCCCAAAACCTAAAAGCCTACGTCTCCACGAGGACTTGGAAACATCTATTTTATCACGATGTACGATCGCGTCAAGGGGCTGTACCCGCTGCCCCGACGTCCGACCACGGGCGGATCGCAGTCTCTCATCCCACCCAGAACAGATCAGAAACAAGGGTGTACTTAAATGGTTCGCTTGTCTCTTCAATGAGACTTCTCGTCTATATTTTCTCCGGCTGTCTTCTGGTGTGTTGTGACCCCTTTCCCCCCGTACAGGGACAAGGCCAACCCAGGGTTGCCGTTGCTTGATGGACCTATGCTTTCTCCGCATTGCCCGACCGCGCGGACAACAGACCGACGGATGGAGGGAAATCTCGTTATATAAACTCGTGCGCAGTCTATCTCCGCGTATCTCGCCCTTAAGGAGGGTTTCAGATTAGCGGCCGAAACGTTGTCACCTGAGTAGGACGCGGTGTCTTCCGGACAGCAAAGTAGTCACAGACTTCAGCCGCGGAAGCCTATGCTTTCTTAGACTATTTAGCTTCAACTTTTTTTGTTAACTTTTCGTAACCAACTGTCTTGTTCTAACACCTACTGTAAAGGGTGTCGTCAACAAATTGCATGTATTTCTCTCAACATTGTCATATGTGCTTGTGTGCATAACATCACAGGAACTCATATAAGGTGAATATGGCAGATGTCTCAGGATATTAACTCGCCCGTTATGTTGGAAATGCATCACAGAGTTAGAAGTAGAAGTATATTTTGAAGGATAAGGACCACCTCCAGCTGGTAAACAAATATTGAATGAATGTTCATTCATAACAGGCTATATCTGAATGCTTTAACAAAACATTACCATTTGTCATGCAACTTCACCCTATGGCAATGCAGAATCAGTGCAGCCTCTGTTGTGACGTGAATTATTTTGAATATCATCATTTAGCCTTCCCTGCTTGCCACACTTGTTAGTCACTTGATGTAATTATATATGTATAGCCTACATTGAAACCATCTTATACGCATTGAGAGTATTTCTTATACTGCAAATTTTATTTTCAATGTTAATAGTATGTACTGATTCATTTAGAAGTTCAAAGGATAAATCTTAATTATGTGGAAAAAGCTGGGGAAAACAGCATTCTGCGATTATGTATTTGTCACAATCATAAGGTGGGAAAAGGAATGAATTCTATCTGTAGTGTAAAAAGGAAGTAACTTTTACTTTTATTTTCACTCTCCCCTCTCCATTCCTTACTGCTGTCATCCCACGCTGCCCATGAAGCTCTACCTCCTCTCTTCGACCATCCCTTCCCTGCCCCATTCACTGTGCTTCGCCCCTCTTTGCCCAATGTCGCTCGCTTCCTGATATGATCATGCCCCTTTCCTCAAAGAAATCCCTAAATACATAAGTGCATTGTGGTGTTTTATTAAGCCAAATTTTATATTTAATAAAATCAGGGTAACATTTTGAATAACTATGAATTAAATTAAATCTCCCTATAAATGTTTTCTGAAATATAAATATAATTGAAAATAAACTTTTATTAAGGAAAAGATTTACACTGAAAAAAGAAAGAACTGCATCAAACATTTTTTGAAGTAGTGTAAAAATGATTGTGCATTTTCACCAGTTTTATTGTTTTTTATTCATTTTCTTAATTGATTGTTGTTGTTTTTTTCATTCTTGACTGCAATAAAACACTATTTTAAGAATGGATAGTATATTTATTGCTGTTTAATCATAATGATTGCTTTGAATGTTTGAAAATCATCAAACTATAATGAATTTGCATGTCATTAAATATTTAGTTCTTTCTCTCTTCAATTTATTTTCATTTTTTTTTCTTTCTCAAAAACTATTTTGAATTGATTAAAGTATTGTGTTGATCGTTGCTTGTAATTTATGTCCAGCATGTCACCGTATTGAATATATGGAGACAAGAGGCACTGCTTTAGGTTTGCTGTATGTGCTTCTAATTTTTGTTGCAGTGAATCAAGAAGAAGTATTTGGAAATGGTAAACTGGCAAAGGGAATAATGCCCCTCACACAGGAATAATTATTAAAAGCACACTTATATTGATGCTGGCTCTAGTCAGGAGTATACAAATGAAATCTAGTGCCTGGGATATTGCTCACCTAATCTAGACATTGTTATAGCATACTAGATGAAAACATGATATATCAAAATTTCCTCATTTGTACTTGTCACAACTTAAATGTATGAAAAGACTGTGTGGTAAAAAATATAAATGAAAGTTTGATTTCACTTTTATCTTGACACAAATCTTTTTTCTAAAAGTGCTTATTTAATAATTTTTTAATGTATTTTTAACCCTTTGCACTCCTAATTATTTGGGCACTATGTTCCCATCAGTTCTGTATTTAAACTCCATTGACACACCACTGTGGCATGCTCAAAACGTAAGAAATTCTAGTTTTGGCATTATAGTTTAGGAACAATATAAACATTTTTGATTTGCATCAAGAATTGGCATTTAGTCTAATAAACTGTGTTAACAAACTGAAATGATACAACACCAAACATGACAGATTTTTCCATTATTTGCACTCTGTGTTCTCTGTTTGATAGCACTCTTGTACACAATAAAAAATTTGGAGCAGTCAAGAATGGAAGTAAGGTTTCACACTTGTCTTGTGTGCTGCAGCCACTTCCGTATAGTAACTTAATAGGGAAGGCATCCATTTCATAATATCAACATAACATTAACCAATTATCAGGGTCTAATAAACTGAAATCGCACAAGGACCATAGGCGTATACCAGTTGTTTACCCCATAGTCATGTGCTCACCATTGAACTTTGCATGGCTTTGGAGCTCAGAAAGTAACGAAAAATATACAAGTAGGACTTGACATCAGAGTGAAAAATCAATTTTGCAATGTCAAATCTCACCCAACATAGGAGCGCAAAGGGTTTATATTTCAAATAATATTATAGAATAAGTCTTTTAATATTTTTGTGATTTTTAAATCATAACCACTCTTTAATAAAATTAACTGTGGAATTGAATATCTGGTAACTTTGATGATCATCATTAATTTTATATCAATTTATATTGTGTTTCATGTTCTGTACTTAAAGTTGTAAATATTTTGTTTCTTGAACTACGCATATCTTAAAGTTTAAGAGTAAATATTGAACATCAAATGACCGCAAAAGAAAACATAATTTTATTTAAAAATATTATAATGCGCTTGCAATTTGCTGAGGATTATTTTGGTTAACTTGCCTCAACAATCAGTGATCATAGGATATTACTGTTTCAGCCATAACATGATGAAATATCACATGTTGATATAACTTTAAATATAATTGAAATATTATATCAATAAGCCATCTAAAACAGTTATCAATTGCCATCTGATAGGAAATTCATGCAATAATTTTTGCTTGGCAGTGAGTGGTTGTTTGTAAGTGCTGACAAGATGATCACACGTTTTTATATTGATAATTGTCAAATAAGCCCTATACCAAATCTTTCTTTTTTTTACAAATTTTTTTTGACAGTTGAAAAAAAATTGGGGAAAATATTATGTTCTGTTTGAAAACATCACTCACTAACTTAAAATTCCAAAATATAAAGTTTTTGTTTTGATGCAGAAACAATGAAACCTATGATTTTTCGTAAGACAAACAGTTTAAGAAATTGAATTTCAACTCTCCAGAATAAATGCGAGTTTTATTACAGACATTTATTTTTCTCTTCCGTCTGTTTAAACTTAACTCGTATTGATGTCACCCGACAGGATATTAACTGCTTATTCCCTTTCCCCAGCTGCATCACATTCTGTAATTGCGATCTCTGGTTAGTACTTGACTCACAAAGCTTACACAACTGCTTACAACTCTGCTAGGCTACCATGATGGTATTGTCAAAGCTAAATGTAAGAAGGCATTTTTTAATCATAAGTGCTTAGCGTGTATTTTTGTCGACATTCCTTGAGGAGGGATTTATGTTTCTCCACAAAGTAAATTAATTTGCAATAGGCTGTGACAAATTTTATGATTTTATTGTGGTTTCAATAAAAGACTGTAGGAAAGATGAACGTGCTTCTGATTTTCAGTCTGGATTCCTAATATGCACAGATCTTTGGCAGGATCATTAGACGTGAAATGAATTACAATTGTTTACGTAAGTCAGTAGAATTTTGCATCACCATCTTTGTTGCTTATCCACTTCAGTGCTCTTGTATTCCCTCTTCTCTTATTCTGTTCATTAGTTTCTTGGTACGACTAGATGTAATTGTCCACCAATGCAGATATTCTATGAAGAAATTAAACAGAACACAGAATACAGGAATTAAAGAATAGATATTATTTCCCTCTTCCTGGACAGGTTGTAAGAGCTAGGGACTCAATTTAATGACAGATCTGCTCCTCAAACTTTCAAACGAGTAGGTGATCACATCAGTAGGTGGTCGGGAGACTTCACAATCGGTACCAAACATATGCACACTTCGCTCTTTATACAGAATGCCCCAGGAGAAAACACCAATATTTTCAGAGGCTACAGTATCGGTCATTATAAACAAAGAAGTGTATATGAACATGTGGCCTATTCCGATGGTTGACTGTACAGTACGGTGCATGTCTTATGTATGTATGTCCTGTGTTGTGTATATGTGTGTATGTCGTATGTCTTTGAAGACTGCAAAGGGTTGTACACCCTGAAAATTTCAAAAGGGGTCCAGTAGTCGTATATAATATTTTATTTCCATAAATATAGCAATTCTTGATTATCTTATTCTTTTTAAGCTTTTCGGGAAAGCATCTTTCCAAACTGTTTGGAAACCCTGTAAATGATTCAACATAATATCAATTGTATTTGTTAATTATAATATTAAATTTACAATTTTATTGCCCTTGTATATTTTATTTATTTACTAGAAAACTTTTTTTTGTAATTAAGAAAGTTTAAAGGTAAAGGGGACTTGTGCACATCTATGGGACTCCAACACAGAACCATTTGTCTGTAATTGGTATTCTTTTTTTCCAGCTGTATTAGGTGGTACCGTTTCCTTATTACAACACAGTTTCGTAAATTCTACCGACATGTGCACTTTTCAACAAGTATGTGGACACATTATGTCGCTTGTCTGAGTGAATTTGTCATTCCCAGGTGAATGTAGCTTCATTAGGGAATGGAATGATGGCGATTAGTTCATGAGTACTGGGAAAATTCTAAATTAGACTTGTTTCCTGGGTGTCGAATTTGCACACATATTGGGGGTGATGTGGATACAAGCTGTCTTGATGCAATTTTTGCCAAACATATGTTCTTGAAACATCGAGACGTGCGTGCAGAAAGTGCTATTTGTAGGGTAGTAGTAGTAGTAAGGCGCGTTATAATACACCCTAGGATGTCTCTCACATCCCAGCTTCCATATCTCTCTCAGTGTAGTGTTTATTACTCAATCCTCTTTTCACCATTGCGTCATCCTCTCTTTCTTCCCATGTAAGTCTAGGTCTGATGAGTAGATGTAGTAGTAAGTTGAGTAGGCGGTTGCCATTTTCACAATATTTTTTGCCAATGTTCTTCGTTCATTCTTTGCATGTGCCCATAACATTTTAGTCGTTAAGGTTTATTTCTAAACCTTAACAAGTTTTCTTCACATTTCAATTTCTTCATATTTCATCATTCAATTTTCGCAGCATGTATAGAACATCGTCTTTATCTTCAGCGAACACCATCTGATCATCTATGAAGTGTAGAGAGAATAACACAGTCACCAATTTTAATACCCATATTACAACATTTCTTCCTCCATCTTCTCAGGGCTTCATTCAAATATATTTTAAACAAAGTCGAGGCTACACAGCACCCCTGTCGTAAACCTTTATTTACTGGAAATGGTGCTGAAACGTTTCTTCCTACTTTTATTTGGCTCATATTATTATTGTACAAATCTTTAATGGCTCTAATCAATTGCATATTTACATTTTGTTTCTCTGTCGCCATTAATATCCTAGATAATAGAACAGTTTCATAGGCCTTATGCAGATGTATAAACACCAGGTGTGTCTCCAAGTTATGGGCAAGACGTTTGTCAGTTACCTAATACTAAACACATCAATCGATTTAGATTTATTTAATCAAAAAACAGTAAAAACTGTATGTGACGTACATGAACGTACATGAATACAAAAAACTGTGTGACAATACATGAACGCCTCGCTCGAAAGCCGCTCTGTTCCTCGACATAAATGAGGTCTCTTTACAGTCGGGTTTTTAATATTTTCCCATACACTCGGTCACTGCTGCTAAGGACAATTAGGCCTCTATAGTTTGCCCACTGTTTCCCCCTTTCTTGTAGATGTTAGAGATAGCATTTTCTGAAGTCATTGAGTAATTCTTCCCCCATAAACATCTATTTGTATGGCTAGGGCTTATAATTTGAAGAATGTTTTCCCGTTCCTCCACATGAGCTCGTTTAGATGAAAGAGGAGCAATGTGTATTGTGCCACATTCATGAAACGTCCTTATCATCGGGGAAAACACTATGATTCAGAATTTTGTGCGTAGGAAACTGTTGACTGTATTTTTCTACAGCAGCAGTAACACATCCATCGCAAAAGCCGTACGCATACAACAAACCATTTTATTCTTCATTTGTGAAGATGGGGGGGCTTTTCTTCCAACATTCCTGCAATATCCCAACAATCATAAGTCCTAACTGATATTTCACGGAATAAAGTGCCTCAGAAAACCGGCTTGCTGCGTTAGGAGGAAAGATCACGTGTGCGTCGAATAGAAAATACTGTAGAGACGACTAATTACCGAATTGATTTATCGACGCAACAGAAATAACTTAGAGTTTAATGTAAATTAGGAACAAATACATTAATAATTTCTTTTGAATTAAAGTAAAATTTTAAGGGCCCCAATTAAGTTAGGGCCTAGGACAAGTTCACCCAGCTGCCCCCCCCCCCTCCCGTGAGGGCCACTGGCTCTTTATCTCGGAAATCCTTCGGTTCATGTTCGACTCATGTTCATTCGTGAATTTTTTTTTTTTTTAATGACCAATCTTGTGACATCCCAATAATAGTGACGTTTCCTCCTGCGACATTCTGTATATAAAAGATAAAAAGATATCTTACAACGTACGAACGTCCAAACTCTACGGGCCCATCAGAATGTCGACCGGCAAAGAGTCGGAGAGTAAAAAGGACATTTCCTCAGCAGGAGAAAGTGATGACGTTCGAGTTGGAGGAATGAAAACGCTGTGAACGAGGCCCTCGGAACGAAAATTGGTGGGCTTTGCCGTAGAGCATGACTCGGTGACCACTCGCAAGATGTGGAGATGATGTATTGAAAAAATACACTTTAAAAATAAATTTTAAAAATGAGCGCAGTTAGGAATGTTTGAGAGGCAGAAAACTCTACCGAAACTCCTGCGATCCTCTCCTTCAACGCTGCCGTCGCTGAAGACAGGTCCTGCCGTTCCGCGAATCTTGCAGACTAGTACGGAAAAAAGGCATGTCTTGTCAACGATCCTACGTTCAGGAGGGCCGTGGGTCCCTCGAAAATTTCGAAAGGGTCCCCGTAGCCTTACGTAATAAAACATTTTATTTCCGTAAACATCAATTCCTGATTTTCTCCTGTTTAAGCTGATACTTCGGAGGAATTGGCACGCGACATTTGCGAAAGAAGCTTTCCAAACCATCTGGCAACTCTGTACTTGGCTCAACATAAAATAAATAAATAGTTATAAATAAGTAGATGTGTGAAAAATTAATTGTATAAGTAACCCCTTTCCATTCCATGAAATAATTTTTCGACGTTTCTCGGAAGTGTTTCATCTGACTCTGCGAGCTAGGTGCGGTGGGAGATGTTGCGAAGACCGCTTTTTGGGATCAGCGTTTCGATCCGCAGGCGTTGTTGGTTTCACTGAAATAATAGTCTCGTGCAAGGGATAGGGCGCTTATCTCATCCCGGGATATAACATTTTCGACGTGTGGCGTTGTGAAATGTCGGCGACTTAAGTGACTGTTGCCCCAGAGATATTTGTTTGCCCGCAGCGAGCTAGTGTTCTTCCAATATGCAATAATAATAATAATTATTATTATTATTATAATGATGATGATGATGATGATATACAAACTTCGAAACAATCGTTAATTTCATATTAATTCATTTCGATGGATTTTTGTGTTGCATCCCCCCCCATTAAAAGTTTTACTCTAAGTTACGCCTATGTTCTCCAGTTTAGTTCATCAGTTGGTGCACATCAACATCATTGATCATATTCAAATATCTTGTTTTTTATTGCTTCGTCACCACATTACTCAGTTGGCTATAAGGCTTAGGAGAGACCTCTAGTCCTTGTAAACATTAAGTAGGAATTTTTTGAAGGTGCATCAACTGAAACAAATTTTTAGGTCTTGACAAATTTACTGAAATTATCATATGCGCAAATAGTAGGGGAATAATGTGCATGACATATGGAGCAAAATTCTACACTTTATTCTGGCAAATCATGTATTTATCATTTGCCTATAACAAAAATGTCGGTGTATACTTGCAGCAGTAACACCACTGTTCACATAAAACACATTTATGTGAAATCTGAGAGTTTTGTTTCATTGTTTCTGAGAGTAAAAACATGTTCACTGATGTTAGGTTGTGTTCCGATGATGATGATGATGATGATGATGAGTTTCTTGGTTTGTTGCAAGCTCCTTTCATTACCAACAGAAGTAGTACATTAACTGCAACTATGGTGAGACCATTGAATGTCAGACAAGGAACTTTTTTCTCTTCTTCAGTTATCCATTATGATTTCCGTGACCCCTCAATGAGAACCACAATTTTATAGCAGATAAGTCATTATAATCCAATTAAAAGAAGTAAATGGCACTTGAAAGATATTATGAAAATATAATACAGTGTTTGATCTCTACTCCCTATTGATATTCCTATGTTGTTATTGCTATTCTGTTCAGTTACGGATAACAAAATTTCAGTCACAAACAGTTTTGTGATTGAAGTTATCTTTTAGTGTTTACTCATTTTGTAGTTATAGTCTGTCAGTCATGTTTCCAACTGTTGATACTGTTTTTTAGAATAATCTTCATTTTGCCGGCTTTTGAATTATATGTGATTATGAAAATATCACTTAATTAAATATTTAAGTATTGGTTAATATTTATATTGGAACCATAATTAATTAATATTGAAACCGTTATTACAATTGCCTATAAAGAAATGAGGCACCATTTTGATATATCATGTTTTCCATATTGTACAGTTACTATGGGCTTTTTGGAATATAATTATTGTATTAAGAAGGTAATCTTGTTCATTGCCAAGTGAAAAAAATGGTTTCTACATGTATAAAAACAATCAACATTAAACATCTACCATAATTATTGTTTTGTGTAATTCTCTTTATAAGATCGTTATTTCTTTTCCACAATCTGTAAAGAATTGTGAAGAAAATTCGTTTGGTATTGTGAGTTTTATGAACTATGTTCAAGATGCTCAATTATGCAATATCGTCTTCATACTTTTTAAATATTGACATAAATTATGAAAGCTATTTCTTCAGATTCCACTTTACTTCAGTTCAAATTTTTAATTATTTTATTGTATGTTGTGTTACAGAATAACACTGGAAAGTGAAATGATTTTATAATAAGAAAAAACAATAATTTTAAGACTTTTTTTTTTTTCATTTGGCAAACAGTTTCATGTCAACAATGGTTATCCATAGACAACGTATTTAAAGTTTGGAATCACAGTGAATAAGGATTATCGAATTAATTTTCTGAATGCCAATAATTATGTGTAGTGCCCATTGCCTTTTATTGATAGGGGAAACAAGAAAACTCTGAGATAAGAAGATTGATATAAAAAATATCAATTACTTTTATTTATGTGAAAAATGGGTATATCATTAAAAAAATACATTGTATTTCAAGAATGGTAGTTGATTTGATTAAATGGTGGACAGAATTCATATCAGATGTCTGATGTGATGCATTTGTAATTTTCTCATATATTTTGATGTTTGTATTAGACAAACAGTGAACATTAAACTAAATGAAAATTCCAAATCCATATTTAGAGGTTCATAATGTGATGAAATGTTTAGTAAACATTATCAGTTGGATTCCTGATAAACTGTTTAAAAATCAATGCAATTTCAATTATGTCAATGATAAGCATACTGAAGATACATACCAACATTTAAAAGTTATTGAGTATGAAGAATTTGTCAAAAATATAGTGAAGTGGTTACACAAACTTTGAAAGACATGATACTCAAGTGCACAGGGAACAGTAAATATATGGCTATAAAATCAAAATCAACAAATGTATTCATGGAGTATTAACAAATATCTATACAAAATAACTGTTGAATATTATTTTCTGTTTGTAAAGGTTCTGGTAATTCCACTTTAATACTTGCATCAGTTATTTGTCTCACAACACGAACAACATGGTGCTATTCTCAATACAGTATTAATGTTCATTTCTTTCACAGTGAATGGGCTTGCTCATGTACAATCAATGTTGCTTAAATTATGTGATGTTAATGTTATTTATTATGTAGAATACTTACAATACAGGAATTATCATGTTATATGAAGCAAACACAACAAACAAATACTTAAGAACAAGTTTCCATTTCCTAAGAGGAATGTCACATTATTTTGATAGAACATGAATATGTGTATGGCATGTATCTCTACCCCTCTCCCTTTGTACTTACGTGTTCTTTGATTTATGCAATTTTGTGTGTATACCAAATATGCAATGTTAATCTTTTAGAATGAAATACCTGTAACATGCATGAAAGTGTTCATCAAGCTTATGTGTAGACTAGATGATATCGTTACTCCTCTCTGTTTTCAATTATGATGCATGAATGTATGATTACAAAATTATGGTTGTGGATGCATGTTATACTTGATGAACAGGAATTGGATGTGCTACCATGAAAATGTCAATGTATCAATTGCAGATGTATTTAACAGGTAGATATATTAACAACGGAACTGAACAAATTGAAATGTTTGAGGGATACAGTAAGTTTTACAGAAAGTATTTCATGACACAAAATGACAGTGTCTCACCAGTATAGGTTAATAAAACCGGTCGTCACTGTTATATTACATACTTAGAGGTTTATGATTTACTTTCATCGTACTTTCACTAACATTAATTTTACAGTTTTAGTCATAAGTTTGAATATAATAGGCAGAATTCACTTTACGTTTTTTAATGATAAAATCCTGTTAAATATCATCTTCTATTATTTACTTATTGGAACTTGAAAAAGGTTTATTTTGATAAATTGCAATTTAACTACATTACATTAATACTCTTGAAATTGTGAACACTGTATGATGATTCATAAAAGCGATTGAAGTTGTACTTCTTGTGTAGTTTAAAAAAGGTTTGGAGGAACTCTTAGGATTTTTTAATGTATTATATTTTACTTGTACAATGTCATTATCATTTTTGTTTTGAATTTGCACTTTTTCAAAATAAACTCGCAAAAAAATGTAGGAAAATACATTTTCGTTCCTGAAGCAATAGTCTTATTGATGACCGTGGCAACTCATTATTTAATAATTCTCTAATGGCTTTGAAAGAATAAAAATATTCCTCCCAGAAATTTGAAAGCAGTGAATAAGTATGATAGCAAGATAAAATACGGAACTTAAGTTTTGTGACAAATAAACATGATTTTGAAGAATAAAAGGAATTATGAAATAGTTAATTTACTTAACTATGTTTACTAGTATGGTAATATGTACAAGTTCAACATAAATGAGAATACCAGTTAGTTAATTTGGATTTGATTTGTATAGAGAATAATCCCAAAAGAATTCACTCACATTAAATAACATTATTTGGCAATAAAATCATTGTATAAAAAAGTGACCAAGCAAATTCTGCGCATGTGTTACATTTATTTACTTACAACTATTACTACAGGAAAGCTTTCTGCTAAATAGGTCGTATATATGCATAAATATATTATTTGGAAGAAATGCCATTTACCTTTTCAAATAAACTGAAGTTCACCAAAAAATTAATGCAAACATGAAACACTAGATAATATCATCATATGATCACAATAGGTCATTGTAAGTTTATTTAAAATAATCGTAAGAGGAAAATATCAATAGAACTAATTAATAATAACAACAAAACAATAATAATTGTCTGATATGATCTAAAAATAACGAAGCTTCAGGGGAAGACTACAATTGTCAAATTGTAGGGAAGGGATGGTAGAAACCTTGTCCTGAAAATTCACAAACTTCTACAAAATATCTGTTTTAATAGAAAATTTTCTGAGTAGTAATACACCCATTACACAAATAAATTTGATGTTAATTATTTCATTATCAGGCAGGTCTTGCATAGAACGAATTTGTAATATCAAAAACATCCTACAAATCCTTAAAACTACACAGTGAAAACTTTTATAGACTTCAAGAGAGCATATTATACTGTGCGCAGAGTAACACTTTTTAATACATACGAAGAATTCAACATCAACAGAAAGGCAAGAGAGGGGAATAGTTAATCATGGATCACATTAATTAATGTTGCTTCAAAAATGAAATTCCTGAGAGAAGACGCTGAATCTTTTAATATTAATTTGAGGGTCCTAGGAGCAGGGCCGGATTTACCTACAAGCAAAACAAGCAGTTGCTTGGGGGTCCCCATTCACCAGGGGCCCTGCGTTTCAGAAAAATACGCATACCATATTTTTTTGTCTGTGAAATAATTGTTAATCAAGTAGTCTACTGTGTAACAAAATGTACGATTTCAAAACATTTTTATGTAAAATGTATTTAATGTAAAAAAATGTAACACAAGTAAAAATTTATATAATAAATTATCAGTTTTCATTTGTATCTGTACAGAAAGTACTTGCACTATAATACATTTTTTATTTAATAAAGATGGAGCTATTTTTTCGGGGGGGGCAACACAATTTTGTGCTTGGGGCTCCGCACTACTTAAATCCGGCCCTGCCTACGAGATGAACTAAGTTATTGTTTATTTTTGTGTTACAAATGGAAATCACACAGGAAGC